CATGGTCACGCTCCAGGATTAGAAAAACTCTTGTAACTCATCAAATGTATATATATCAAAGGTGTTTAGATTTGTTAATTTAATCCTTGTTTTGACTACATGTGTTTATAATTGCTTTTCTGGGTGTCGTTGTTGAGTAACTTCTATGCAGTGCTCTTGGTAGGGCATACACTCAACAGACAAACCTGGCTGGGCTGTGAGCATAGGGTTGGGAAGTTCTCTTCTCACCACTACCACTACCTCTTATTCCCGTAAGTAGTGCATTCCTTATGGGTTTAGATCTTCTCCCTGAGTATAATATTCTACGTTCAGAATTTCAGGACTTTGCAGTCAGACTGTGGCCTCTCCTGACGGTTTTTAGTTGTGACTCAATTCTTGTGAGATCATTAGTAATGGCAGTGGCCCACTGTGAGTGCCAGCAGTGTTTTGAATAAAGCCATATTTGTCCTGACCCTCCTACTACCACTGTTATCAGTCGTGGGAAACGACAAACTTACAATCACACACTAGTTGCACCAGACTCATCTGTGGCCCTCTCGTGGAGGGGCACTGGTGCCACTCTGCCAATTCTACCAGATCATGCCGGATAATAACACTTGTTCACACACAAGAGATTATACAAAGCCAGTTTTAATTCATATACTATTTTAGGTGCAGTTAGAGCACTGGGTGAAGGATTTACTTGGTAATGCTGCATAGAGAACAACACTGTCATTGTGGCAGTACAACAGCTGTAGAGAGTCACACTGAAGACAGCTCACTCAGTAGTTATAGCACTGTTATTCTTGTCTTCCAATAATTGTAGTTAACTGCATAAGAAATCCTACTTTACAGGGTGACCCAAAAGTCTGGACACACACTTCTGGGCTTTTAAAATCCTTCTAAGGGTTTTTCGAAGAATACCCAGTTCCAAGGATGTCCTCTGTATCCAAGGTCTGGACACACAGGACATCCTTGGAACTGGGTACTCCTTGAGAAACCCTCAGAAGGGTTTTAAAAGCCCAGAAATGTGTGTCCAGACTTGTGTATCACCCTGTGTAGCACTGATATTCTTGTCTTCCCATGACTGTAGTTAACTACATAAGAAATCCTACTTAATAGTCTGTGTGTAATTCTTCAGTAGTCTTGATGTACACAATGTACACACTATACTAGTGAATTTATTTTCTTCCAATGTTTTATTGCATGTAATCTATATTATTTTTGTATCACAAAGAAATCAAAATTTGTTTTTCTGAGGTGCTTCGATGAGCTCTTGATCCAAGGAACTGGACTTATCCTCCACTTCCTTGGATCATACCTGGATGCCTCTTATTCTCCAGATGTTATGGGACTCCTATGCTTTTAATGTTTACTTCCCCTTGTTTAAAATATAGAATACATCTGTTGTCTCCCATCTCAAGTCATCTCTAATGCAGACCTTAATGCTAGTCAAGAGCTCTTGATCCAAGAAGTTGTAGCTACCATTCCTTTCCCTCAGATCAAACTTCACTGCCTCTCATTCACCAAGTGTGCTACACCTCCCCCTATGAGTACAGAACTTCAGTGAATATTATACCACTAATAATGTAATATCCATAACTGGCTCTCACAGTGTGCTGCTGAAGGAACCACAAATTTCAGTGCTGTAATTAAATGTTATTACATTTTTGTATTACAGGAAAATGTGTGTGACACAACAAGCACACACATGCACAGAGGCAGGATCCATACATAGCTTTAAGAAGGGGTATAATAAAGTTCTTGGAGCAGGGAGAGAATGGACCTATTGGTGACCAGCAAAGAGGCAAGGCCAGGAGCTGTGACTCTACCCTTACAATCACTTAATGGTGAGTACATATAGGTGAGTACATATAGGTAAGTATATACAGGTGAGTATAGAGAGAGAGATTGAGAGTAAGATTTAGATTAGATTTTGCCACCGAAGTGGCTAGTTTATTGTGCACCCCATATCCATCCTGTGGACAGTAGCGCGAGAGCATATGGATACACAAAAGGCCTAGGAACTAGGCCCCAAAGGGTTAACAGGAATACATATGGATTTATATCTACATATCTATAGTTCATTTATCTGTTACAAGCAAATTTAGGAAATTTGCTTAGTATATCTGGTATCTTATTTTCGTTAATAAGATATCTTGACATGTCACATAGGTTATTATACTGTCTGTCTCTGTATTCCTCAATAAGTGGACAATTAAGCACATAGTGTTCAAGAGAGTGACCATATGCCTGATCACATAATTTACATTTAGTTTGATCATTTATCTGTGTGTCTCCCAAACTGCCAGAAGTACTTGTAACCAAGCCTAAGCCTGGCCACTACAACATCAGTCAGTCTGTTCACATTGCAAGTTGCTCCATAAACATACTTATCTACGTTCATGTTATCATAGTGGGTTATAGATCTACTCAGGCTTCTAACTGCATTCCTATAACAATCATTTTCATTATTTACTTCTCTCTAATATTATTCCTAATGCTAGACACAGTTATACCAAAGTTATATTCTACATTCTCCTTCTGGGTACTCTTCTTGGCTAACATATCAACTTTATCATGAAGGAGTAATCCAATGTGTGATGGGATCCATAGCAATTGTACATTATTCCTTTGTCCCTAATTTTTGAGTATCTATACCTGGCTTCCCCCAAAGAACATGTTGTTGGAGTCATTATATGAGTCAAGAGCCTTCAATGATGACATAGAATCAGTAATGATGATAGAGTCAAGCTCAGTGTCATAGGTTAGCTTTAGCGCCATTAGGATTGCAAACAATTCAGTTTGCAGTGTAGACGCTCAGTTGTTAATTCTTATGCCTAACTCAACAAATTTATTATCGTTCTTAACTAGGGAGGTGGCAACAAGGCAGATGCAGCCCTGCCAGAAGACTCCTGTTTAGATCCATCAGTGTATATAACTTGTGATAACTTATATACCAGCTATTCCTGCCCCACTGTTCTGTGAGAACACTCTCAATAGTGTAATTAAATCATCATTAAATTTTTGTGTGCCAATGCGTCGTAATTCTTTACCATTGATCAAGTGGTTAATAAAGTTGTCTCTGTGTTTGGTTTGAGAATCGTTTCCTCCTCTGTTTTGCTCATTGATTGCTGGAGTTGTGATCAGATTGGTCAGTTGTTAGTCTTGGGAAAGTGATCAGATAGAAGATTCATCAACTATGACAGAGTCTGCATCGAATATGATGTATTAAATCCAAGGACACAGATCTAGTATGCCACCATATATGTGAGTAGGCTCAGTAGTGCCCACAATTCGAACATTATCATGCTCATTTAGCAATCTCACTAGTTTAGTTCCATTGGTGTTTGTTATAGACCCACCAATATTCTTATGTCTGGCATTAAAATCTCCAAGAATGATGGTAGGTTCATTATTGATGCGATCTGGTAAAGCATCAGGTCGAAGCTGGTTCGCTGGGGCATAGAGATTAAAAATGTTTATGGAAAAATCGAGAGTGAGAGTGAGTGAGTGAGTTTTGAGCAGAACAAAGTAGGTAGAACAGATTACCAGGTCAAGAGGGAGTAAATCTCTCAGGTGGCAAGTTGAAAAGCGGGGGCCAAGAGCCGAGACTCGATGCCTGCAGTCATAAGAATGTAGGTGGGTACACGTGCATGCAGGTGTCTCCAGAGTTTAATCTCTATACTGAATTAAAGTCACTGGTATGACGGAATGCCTTCATACTGATGATAGACAGGTTGGGTCATTGGTTTAATCCCCAAACCCAAAAAACGTGCCTCATACAGCTGAACGAGAGGGGGGGGGGGGGGGGGGTGTGGGGGAAACTTGGTTACTTGCCTCGTATGGGCCAGTAGGCCTCCTGCAGTGTTCCTTCTTTCTTATGTTCGTAATATGTGTCATAGCCAGGTATTGCACATGTATCATTGTCAGCATAGTTGCTGATCCCCTTGTATGTGTTATATAGATTAGCTGAGTATCATAGTACCATCCATGTGCTTTATATAGAAGCTCCCTAGGCCTGTGACTGTATGATGTCACGGGGTACAGCTTGAGTCAGTGAGACGAGCTGCCTCGTCCTCACTCCACGGATAGACACAGAAGCAGGCAGAACACGGCAGGCCTGGGCTCCCACCTCTCATCACAGTCTGACAATATATATATATATATCGTTACCATCCAACAAGTGAGTTTACCTTATCCATCATTCTCCTACCGAACCCCCTACGACATCATAGCCAGGTGTTGCACATGTATCATAGCCAGGTGTTGCACATGTATCATAGCCAGGTGTTGCACATGTATCATAGCCAGGTGTTGCACATGTATCATAGCCAGGTGTTGCACATGTATCATAGCCAGGTGTTGCACATGTGTCTTATCGACTTGTTGATGTATGCCATTAATATAATGATACATGCAGGTGTGGTAGTGATGGGACACTCATGTATCATGATGTCAGGGATTCTAGCAGAGAGTGAGTCAGCAAGTGATCGAGAGAGAGGGGAGAGAGAGAGAGATGAGAGAGAGGGATGGTGAGATTGTGGGAGAGAGGAGAGAGAAGAGTGACAGGACAGACAGACAGGACAGACAGACAGACAGGAGATGAACCATCAGGACTGTACCTTGTATTCACCCTAAGTGATTCTGATGTAGGGAACATTGAATGTGACTGGGACAAGGACAGATTGTTTGGAAGGTGGGAAATGGGTACACAAGGGCACAGTTGGTAGTTAAAAAACACAGATGAATTGCAAGGATGTTAGGAAATACTTCTTCAGCCGTAGATTGGCCAGAAAGTGGAATGACCAGGACGGTAAAGTGGTAGAGGCAGGATCCATACATGGCTATAATTGGTGTCATGAAGCCAGGAGTGTGCTTACAGTTGTGGCCACATGAGAAGCAGGTCCAGGAGCTGAGAGTCAACCCTTGCAACTACAGAAGTGAGTACACATACAGGGTAGCCACACATACAGGGTAGAGGTGAGTATCCATACAGGGTAGCCTAACAGTCGACTCACCGAGTACTGCAGACACTCCACTGACTTAGACTTGCTGACAGGACTGAAGACAGCAAGCTTGGTGTTCACCATCCCTGCTGACAGTGCACGCCCACGCCCACATAGCTCCTCAGTGTCATCTGCTTCTCTGCCATCCCTGGAAACGCCGTGTCGCCACCTGGGCTGGTACCACACCTAGCTGCTTCCTCTATGGTCAGCTGGAGCAAGAAGTGTGTGGGGAGAGTGAGGGGAAGGTTGTAGATGTGTGGTGTGTGTGCTGTGCTGGTGTGATGGATGGGTGTGAGGTGTGTAGGGAGGTTGTAGAGTGTGGTGAGTGTGCTGGTGTGATGGAGGGTGTGAGTGTGTAGGGGAGGTTGTAGTAGTGTGGTGTGTGTGCTGGTGTGATGGAGGGTGTGAGTGTGTAGGGAGGGTTGTAAAGTGGGGTGTGTTGTGTGGCTGTGATGGAGGGTGTGGTGTGAGTGTGTAGGGGTGGTTGGAGAAGAGTGGTGTTGTGTGCTGGTGTGATGGAGGTTGTGAGTGTGTAGGGAGGTTGTGCAGTGTTGGTGTGTGTGGCTGGTGTGATGTAGGGTGTGAGTGTGTAGGGGGAGGTTTGTAGAAGTGTGGTTGTGTGTGCTGGTGTGATGGAGGGTGAGTGAGTGTGTAGGAGGCTGTTAGGAGTGTGGGGTTGGTGTGTGCTGGTGTGATGGAGGGTGTGTGTGTGTGGGGAGGCTTGTAGGAGTGTTGGTGGGTGTCTGTGCTGTGGATGGAGGTGTGAGTGTGTAGGGGAGGCTGTAGGAGTGTGCGTGGTGTGTGCTGGTGTGATGGAGGGGTGTGAAGTGTGTAGGGGAGGCTCGTAGGAGTGTGGGTCGGTGTGTGTGCTGGTGTTGATGTTGGGTGTGAGTGTAGGGAGGCTGTATGAAGTGTGGGTGGTGTGTGTGCTGGTGTGATGTTGGGTGTGAGTGTAGGGGCAGGCCTTGTAGAAGTGTGGTGGTGTGATGTGCTGGAGGGTGTGTGTGTAGGGGAGGCTGTAGGAGTGTGGTGGTTGTGCTGGTGTGATGGGGGTGTTGAGGGTGTAGGGGAGGCTGTAGGAGGTGGTGGTTGTGTGTGCTGGTGTGATGAGTTGGGTTCGTGAGTTCGTAGGGGAGGCCTGTAGAAGTGTGGTTTAGGTGTTGTGTGTGGAGGGTGTTGTGAGTGTGTAGGGGTGGCTGTAGTGTAGAAGTGTGGTGGTGTGTGTTGCTGGTGATGATGGAGGGTGTGAGTGTGTAGGGGAGGTGTTGTAGGAGTGTGGTGGTGTGTGTGCTGGTGTTGATGTTGGGTTGTGAGTGTAGGGGAGTGTAAAGTGTGGTGGTGTGTGTGCTGGAGGGTGTGAGTGGTAAGGGGAGGCTGTAGGGGTGTGGTGGGTGTTGTGTGGAGGGTTCGTGTGTGAGTGTGTTGGGGGAGTTATGGGAGTTGTGAGGGGAGTGATGGTGTGAGGTGGGTTGGGGAAGTTATGGAGAGTGTGGGGGAGTGAAGGAGGGCTGTGAGTGTTGTTGGGGGAAGTTTATGGGAGTGTGGGGGAAGTGAAGGAGGGTGTGATGTGTTGTTGTGGGAGGTTATGGGAGTGTGGGGGAGTGTTGGTGGGTTGTCGTGTGAGTGTGTTGGGGAGGGGTTATGCGAGTGTGGGGGAGTTAGTGATGGACGGGTGTGAGTGTGTTGGGGAGGTTATGCGAGTGTGGGGAAGTGATGGAGGGTTTGAGTGTGTTGGGGAGGTTATGGGAGTGTGGGGGAGTGATGGAGGGTGTGGAGTGTGTTGGGGAGGTTGGTTATGGGAGTGTGCGGGGAGTGATGGAGGGTGTGAGGTGTGTTGGGGAGTTATGGGAGTGTGGGGGAGTGATGGAGGGTGTGAGTGAGGTGGGGTGGTTTGCGAGTTGGGGGAGTGATGGAGAGAGTGTGTGTGTGTTGGGGAGGTTATGGAGTGTGGGGGGAGTGATGGAGGGGTTGTGAGTGTGTTGGGGAGGTTATGGGGGTGATGGAGGGTTGTGATGTGTGTGGGGAGGTTATGGGAGTGTGGAAGGTGATGGAGTGGTTGTGAGTGTGTTGGAGAGGTTATGGGAGTGTGGGGGAGTGATGGAGGGTGTGAGTGTGTTGGGGAGGTTATGGGAATGAGTGTGGGGGAGTGATGGAGGGTGGTGGTTTGTTGGGGAGGTTATGGAGAGTGTGGGGGACCGTGAAGGAGGGTGTGAGTGTGTTGGGGAGGTTAAGGGAGTGTGGGGGAATGATGGAGGGTGTGAGTGTGTTGGGGAGGTTATGGAGTGTGGGGAGTTTGAAGGAGGGTGTGATATGAGTGTGTTGGGGAGGTTATGGGAGTGTGGGGGGAGTGATGCGGGGTTTGAGTGTGTTGGGGAGGGAGGTTTGGGAGTGTGTGGGAGTGATGGAGGGTGTGAGTGTGGTTGTAGAAGTTATGGGGAGTGTGGGGGAGTGATGGTAGGGTGTGAGTGTGTTGAGGGAGGTTATGGGAGGTGGGGTGAGTGATGGCAAGGGTTTGAGTGTGATTGGGGAGGTTATGGGAGTGTGGGGGAGTGAGCAGCTGAGAGTGATGGAGGGTTGTGAGTGTGTTGGGGAGGTTATGGAGAGATGTGGGGGTGTGATGCGGGAGGGTGTGAGTGTAGTGGGGAGGTTAAGTTATGGGAGTGTGGGGGAGTGATGGAGGGTGTGAGTGTGTTGGGGAGGTTATGGGAGTGTGGGGGAGGATGGAGGTGTGAGCTGTGTGGGGGAGTTTGGGGGTGATAGATGTGGGGGAGTGATGGAGGGTGTGAGTGTGTTGGGGAGGTTAGGGGTGTGGGGGGTGAAGTGATGGAGGGTGTGAGTGTGTTGGGGAGGATTATGGGAGTGTGGGGGACGTGCATGAGGTGTGAGTGTGTTGGGGTGGTTATGGGGAGTGTGGGGGGGAAGTGACGGAGGGTGTGAGTGTGTTGGGGGAGGTTATGCGGAAGTGTGGGGGAGTGAAGGAGGGTGTGAGTGTGTTGGGGAAGGTTATTGGGAGTGTGGGGGAGTGATGGGAGGGTGTGCGTGTGTTGGGGAGGTTATGCGGGTAGTGTGGGGGGAGTGATGGAGGGTGTGATTGTGTTGGGGAGGTTATGGGAGTGTGTGGGGGAGTGAAACGGAGGGGTGTGAGTGTGTTGGGGAGGTTATGGGAGTGTGGGGGGGTAGTTGATGGAGGGTGTGCGTGTGCTGGGGGAGGTATGGGAGCAGTGTGGGGGGAGTGATGGAGGGGTGTGATGTGTGTTGGGGAGGTTATGGGAGTGATGGGGGAGTGATGGGAGGGTGTGAGTGTGTTGGGGAGGTTATGGGTGTGGCGGGGAGTGAAAGGAGGGTGTGAGTGTTTGGGTGGTTATGGGAGTGTGGGGGAGTGATGGAGGGTGTGAGTATGTTGGGGAGGTTTATTGGGAGTGTGGGGGGAGTGATGGAGTGGATGTGAGTGTGTTGGGGAGGTTATGGGAGTGTGGGGGTGTGATGGAGGGTGTGAGGGGTGTTGGGGAGGTTATGGTGAGTGTTGCGTGGGAGTGATGGAGGGTGTGAGTATGTTGGGGAGGTTATGGGTGTGTGGGGGAGTGATGAGGGTGTGAGTGTGATTTGGGAGTTATGGGAGTGTGGGGGAGTTGTGGAGGGTGTGACGTGTGTTGGGGGAGGTTATGGGGATGTGGGGGAGTTGATGGAGGGTGTGAGTGTGTTGGGGACGGTTATGGGAGATGTGAGGGAGTGTGGTGGGGGTGAGTGTGTTGGGGAGGTTATGGGAGAGGGAGTGTGGGAGGAGTGATGGAGGGTGTGAGTGTGTTTGGGGATGGTTATGGGAGTGTGGGGGTGTGATGGAGCGGTGTGAGTTGGGGTGTTGGGAGAGGTTATGGAGTGTGGGGGGAGTGATGGAGGGTGTGTGAGTGTGTTGGGAGGTTATGGGAGTTTGGGGACGTGCATGGAGGGTAGTGAGTGTTGTGGGAGGTTATGGGAGTGGGAGGGGAGTGATGGGGGTGGGAGTGTGTTGGGGTGTTTTGGGAGTGTGGAGGGAGTGATGGAGGGTGTGAGTTGTGTTGGGGGAGGTTAGGGAGTGTGGGGGAGTGATGGAGGGTGGAGTGTGTTGGGGAGGTTATGGGAGTGTGGGGGAGTGATGGAGGGTGTGGTGTGTTGGGGAGGTTATGGAGTGTGGGGGGGGGGAGTGGAAGGAGGTGTGAGTGTGGTTAGGAGGTTATGGGGAGTGTGGGGGGGGCGTGATGGAGGGTAGTGAGTGTGTTGGGGAGGTTATGGGAGTGTGGGGGGGGGAGTGATGGAGGTGTGAGTGTGTTGGGTGTTATGGGAGTGAGGGGGACAAGTGATGGAGGGGGTGTGAGTGTGTTGGGGAGTTTAGGGGAGTGTGGGGAGTGATGGAGGGATTTTGGAGGTTGTGTTGGGGAGGTTATGGGGAGTGTGAGGGGTGTGATGGAGGGTTGTGAGGTGTGTTGCGGGAGGTTAGGGGAGTGTGGGGGAGTGATGGAGGGTGTGCGTGTGTTGGGGAGGTTATGGGAGTGTGGTGGGGATGTGATGGTGGGGTGATGAGTGTGTTGGGGACGTTATGGGAGTGTGGTGGAGTGATGGGGGGTAGTGTTGTGTGTTGGGGAGGTTATGGAGGGATGTGTGGGGGGAGTGATGGGGTTTGTGAGTGTGTTGGGGAGGTTATGGGAGTGTGGGGGAGTTGTGGAGGGTGTGAGTGTGTTGGGGAGGTGATGGTGAAGTGTGGGGAGTGAGGAGGGTGTGAGTGTGTTGGGGGGTTATGGGAGTGTGGGGGCGGGATGGAGGTGTGAGGTGTTGGGAGGTATGGAGACGTGTGGGGGAGTGGGGGAGTGATGGAGGGTTGTGAGTGTTGTTGGGGAGGTTATGAGAGATGTGGGGGGAGTGAATGGGTGGGTTGTGAGTGTGTTGGGAGGTTATGGGAGTGTGGGGGGGGAGTGATGGGAGGGTGTGAGTGTGTTGGGGAGGTATATGGGAGTGTGGGGGAGTGATGGAGGTGTGAATTGTGTTGGGAGGTTATGGGAGTGTGGGGGGAGTGCTGGAGGGTTGTGAGACTGTGTTGGGGAGTTATGGGAGTGTTGGGGGAGAGTGATGGAGGGTCTTGTTTGAGTGTGTTGGGGAGGTTATGGAGTGTGGGGGGTGATGGAGGGTGTGAGTGTGTTGGGGGAGGTTATGGGAGTGTGGGGGAGTGATGGAAGGGTGTGAGTGTTGTTGGGGAGTTTACGGGAGTGTGGGGGAGTGATGGAGGGTGGTGAGTGTGATGGGGAGGTTATGGGAGTGTGGGGGAGTGAGGAGGGTGTGAGGTGTTGGGGAGGTTATGGCGCGTGTGGGGGAGTGATGGAGGGTTAGTGAGTGTGTTGGGGAGGTTATGGAGTGTGGGGGAGTGATGGCGTGGTGAGTGTGTTGGGGGGTTATGGGGAGTGTGGGGGAGTGAAGGAGGGTAGTGAGTGTGTTGGGGAGGGTTATGGGAGTGTTGGGGAGTGATTGGCAACGGTGTGATGTGTGTTGGGGAGGTTAGGGAGTGTGGGGGAGTGATGGAAGGGTGTGATGTGTGTTGGGGAGGTTATGGGAGTGTGGGGGAGTGATGGAGGGTGTGTGACGTGTGTTGGGGAGGTTGTGGGGTTGTGGGGGGGATTGATGGAGGGTGTGAGTGTGTTGGGTAGGTTATGGGAGTGTTGGGGGAGTGAGAGTGATGGAGGGTGTGAGTGTGTTGGGGGAGTTTATGGGAGTGTGGGGGAGTGATGGAGGGTGTGAGTGTGTTGGGGAGGTTATGGGAGTGTGGGGGAGTGATGGAGGGTGTGAGTGTGTTGGGGAGGTTATGGGAGTGTGGGGGAGTGATGGAGGGTGTGAGTGTGTTGGGGAGGTTATGGGAGTGTGGGGAGTGATGGAGGAGTAGCTGTGAGTTGTGTTGGGGAGGTTATGGGAGTGATGGAGGGTGTGAGGTTTGGGGAGGTATGGGAGTGATGGAAGGGTGGAGTGTGTTGGGGAGGTTATGGAGTGTGTGGAGTGATGGAGGTTGTGAGTGTGTTGGGGGAGGTTATGGGAGTGTGGGGGAGTGATGGAGGGTCGTGTGAGTGTGTTGGAGGAGAGTTATGGGAGTGTGGTGGGAGTGCTGGAGGGTGTGAGTGTGTTTGGGGAGGTTATGGGAGTGTGGGGGAGTGATGGGAGGGTGTGAGTGTGTTGGGAGGTTATGGGAGTGGTGGGGGGTGATGGAGGGTGTGAGTGTTGTTGGGGAGGATATTTGGGAGTTGGGGGGAGTGATGGAGGGTGTGAGTGTGTTGGGAGGTTATGGGAGTCCGTTGTGGGGGATGTGATGGAGGGTCGTGAGTGTTTTGGGGAGAGGTTATGGGAGTGTGGGGTAGTGATGGCAGGGTGGTGAGTGTGTTGGGGAGGTTATGGGGTGTGGGGGAGTGATGGAGGGTGTGAGTGTGTTGGGGAGGTTATGGGAGTGTGGGGGAGATGGAGGGTAGTGAGTGTGTTGGGGAGGGTTTTGGGAGTGTGGGGGAGTGATGGAGGGTGTGAGTGCGTTGGGGAGGGTTATGGGAGTGAGGGGGAGTGATGGAGGGTGTGAGTGTGTTGGGGAGGTTATGAGAGTGTGGGGGAGTTGATGGAGGGTGTGAGTGTGTTGGGTGAGGTATGGGAGTGTGGGGGAGTGATGGTGGGTTGTGCAGTGTGTTGGGGTGGTTATGGGGTGGGGGGTGGTAACAACAGCAGAGAGGAGAGGATGAAAGGAGGAAGAGGAAACACTAGAAACTTTAGAGAAACAAAATAAACATTACTATATTCATTGGTAAGATCTAATTACAATATTAATTGGGTGAGAACTAAACTCGTAGGGGATCATACAGCTTCTGGGAAATTGGGGATAATCACATTTGATTCGAGGAAGATGATTCTTACCTTCACTTCCGTGATCCCCATAAGAGAGGTCTCTTGGCCACAAGTAATTAAGAGGTACCTTTCCGTTCCTCAGAACACACCTGATTACTGGCCCGCCTCCGGTGATGTGCTGTACGATCCATACGGGTTTAGAAGCGCCCAGTGGACAAAACGGCAGAACACAGGGTTGAACTCACGGGCTGAGTGGTGACCACCTGGTATCCCTTGTATGGTTGTGCCTTGTGTGATGCCCTGAGTCGCCTCACCACCACCACCGTCACCACCACCATCACACCGATCAGTGACACGCCCATACCGGCCGCCGCCCACACGCCCATACCGCCCTCTGTAACATATGCGCCCACAATGTGAAAAAAGGCTGGTGGTACAGTAAGACATTGATTAAGAAGTTCTGGGAAATTACGTTAACGAGTTTACAAAGTTTGATCAGTGTTTTTATCATTATTATGCAGCCCATAACCATACCGTGGGCTGTAGTTGAAGGTTTACACAGGTACATAGTGGGTCCAGGGACTGTACCTCAACATTACAGAAGTACATGATGGGTCCAGGGACTGTACCTCAACATTACAGAGGTACATAATGGGTCCAGGGACTGTACCTCAACATTACAGAGGTACATAATGGGTCCAGGGACTGTACCTCAACATTACAGAGGTACATAATGGGTCCAGGGACTGTACCTCAACATTACAGAAGTACATAATGGGTCCAGGGACTGTACCTTAACATTACAGAAGTACATAATGGGTCCAGGGACTGTACCTCAACATTACAGACCTCTTCAAGGGGGGCTCCTTGGCGTGGTGAAGAGGCTCTTGGTCTGAGGAATTAGACCTATCGGTCTTCTTCCTCAGACCGAACCTAATTACCCCCCAATCTCCCCTCCCCTATCCCATCCTCCCCATCCTCCCCTTTTTCCTTTCCTCCTCCTCCTCCCCACTCCTCCCTTTTGCCCTTCCTCTTTTTGTCCTTTGGGATTTCTCCCACAGGCGCGCTAGTTCCTGGGTAGGAGAAAGGACACCGGGGTCCATCCCATTCCGTTGAGGTTTCTTGGCGGTGGCGTAGTTTGCCGTGGAATCTGGATTGCCTAGGGATGTCCCGATCCCTCTCGGTATCCCGGAGTAGCTTTGGGTGTCTTTTGGGCGACGGGTGTAGCTCTGGAAGCCACCTTTCGGATTCCGGGGGTGGTGGCTGAAGGAGGTATGCTTTGTGGCGGATATCCGGCCGCCCTCTCTTTTGTCCACCGAGGTAGCTCGGCAGATGTGAGGTTGCTATCCCAGATTGCTGGTTTACTGGCATGAAGGGTAGGGTATGGCACGGGTTCCATGCTGCATCTGCGCTACTAGCGGTGTCGAGTCCTCTTGGGCGCGGAGGGAGATTTCTGGCCCTTTCATCCCTCCTAGGAACTATCCCTCCCCGGTCCCCCCTTTTTTTTTCTTTTTTTTATTTTTATTTCTTTTCTTCTTTCTTTTTTTTTCTTAAAAACAAAAGAAAGAAGTAACCTAAACCATGGCAGCCCTAGTCCATGAACCTGGTACCCCGGGCCCCTTCTTGATACCGCACCCCGTTCTGACCCCGCCTCGTCTTTGGACCACTCTTCAGACATTCCTCATGCCTCTGTACCTATTGCCGGTGCTGTTTCCTCACCCGCTTCAGGTACTGAGGCCTCGACTGACTCCTTCGATTTATCAGACCTTCGCTCTCCTCTGACTATGCTTCCGGCCTCTCCCTCTACGGTGCGGCAATTTTCAAATCGCCGACCCGTTCCACGTCGGACCAACTCTGGTCCCACGCCTAAACGTCAACAACAATTACCTGCTGATGATACTTCTCCACCTTCACCTTCTCGTTCTTCTCAGAAACGATCGACACGTCCTTCACTACCTTTCCACGCTCAGTTTCAGACTGAACAGTGGACTAAATTCTTCACTTTACGACCAACTTCCTCTACTGCCTATCTTTCTGACCATAGTATTGGCAAGGCACTCCTACGCATGTTGGTAAAGATATTTCTTTTCATGCTCTTAAGAGCGGTACGCGCATCATTACCGTACAGATGCTACCAGGCTCGTGAGCTCTCTGTCTTTCCCATATAGATACTGTTCCTGTCACCCTTGAAAAACATCATTCCCTCAATTCTTGTAGTGGTACCGTTATTCTGCCCATACCATAGTTCAACAAAATTTCCAGACATGTGGCACCGACATTCTGAACAGCTGGAACTCCAAGATCTCCCAATCCTCAAGGTAGACACTTACGTTCTTCCTGCCCGTGGGCGGGACGATACCCTAGCAATGTGGCTCGTTTAACTTTTGACAGCCGAGAACTCCCATCCTCCGTTTATTATAGCAGGACATCGGTTACAAGTTCGAAAGGTGATCCCTACACCACAACAGTGTAGAAATTGCTGGCGATTTGGCCATCCAGCGAAATATTGCAGATCTATCGCCGAATGCCCAGTCTGTGGTGCCGATGACCATTCTAATACGTCTTGCAATCGATCTCCCTCTTGCCTTAACTGTCATGAGGCTCACCTTCGTACTCTCGCCGTTGTCAGGTCTATTTAAACGAGCGGGAAATCCGTTACCTCAAAAGAGACAGAAGGTCTCCCTTATGCCATGGCAGTTTCTCATCTCCGCCTCCAAGGGAGACTCCCACGTGTTTCTTATTCCCGTGTTTCAAAACGTCCCCCATTCTGGTATCCATCTTCTACACCCACCTCTGTGGTTACCTCTCCCATAATCACTCCTGTATCTAATCCTTTTGCTGTCCTCGGCTCAGACGTCCCTACTTCATCGCCTCAGTCTAATCTCGCTTCTTCGAGTTCTCTCTTACAAGCCTCAGTATCGACGAGACCTCGTACGACACCTCTTCCCAATCGTCCCTCTACTTCTCAAAAGTCAAAAAAAGGTCCGGTAAACACTCCTACCCATCTTCCACCTCCTCATTTTACCCTCCTGTCTCTGTCCTAGTTCTTCCTTCTCACTGGCTCAGTTACAAGTGCAGAGGTTCACCCTCCTCCTCGTAATGTACCTTCCTCCCTGTTCCCTCCAAGTTTCTTCCTCTTCTGCCACCTCCCAGGTTCCTGTTCTTCTGTCCCTGCCACACTTCTCCAGTTCCCTCCACCCTTTCGCCCCCCCCTACCTTGGTACAGTCCAATACAGTTCCAATCTTTACTCATCCTCCCTCTACCATTCCCAATATTGTCTCCCATACGACATCTCTGAATTCCGAAACACTTGAAGCAATCTCTGAATATATTGCAGAGACCAAACCATCAATGGACACTGATCCACCTTCCGCTCTTCCTTCTTCTCTGCTCCATCTGCGCAACTCCTTTCTTCACAGCGCACCGTTCCTTCGCTGCTTGAACATTTTCCACTGCTTCCGCATGTGGACTTTTCTAACCCTTCTAGTCGTAGGAACCCTTACCTGCGGATTTCAAGTATCCTTATCATTGCCAATCATGGCCTTTTTACAGTGGAATTTACGCGGCCTCAGGGGTAATCGGGGTGAGCTTCAGATGTTACTCTCCAGTTTGCCCCTGTTGGTGTTTGCTTACAGGAACCAAAATTACACTCTGCTGTTATTTCTCACATCTCAGGCTATTAATTTATTGTATTCTTCAGATCCTTTTCCTGATGGGACCTTTAATGAAAGTGCCCTTCTTCTCCGCACTGATTTCCGTACCATCAGCTATTTGTTCATACTTCGCTGCATTACACAGCAGCCCGTATCCACTTACATAGGTGGTATACGCTCTGTTCTTTATATCTCTCTCCTTCTCGGGCATTATCTATTCGGATTTTGCCTTCCTTGTTCGTCATTACCGCCACCGATTCTGTTACTTGGTGATTTTAATGCCCACCATTTCCTCTGGGAGGGTCTCACTGTTGATTCCCGTGGAATTCAGTTAGAGGCTTTTCTTGCCACCCACCCCCTCCATGTTTTAAATTACAGGTACTCACACCCATTTTGATCCTCGGACTCATACTCTCTCTTGCATCGATCTCTCAGTTTGTTCTTCCTCCGCCGCATTAGACTTTACTTGGTCTGTTCTCCCGGACTTACATGACAGTGATCATTTCCCAATCATTCTTACTTCCCCTTCATATTCGCCACCTCTTCGCACCCACGCTGGCAATTTAATCGGGCAAATTGGAACCTTTACTCACACCTGACTGTTTTTAAAGAGGTTCCTTCTTCGTCCTCCATCGATGGCTTTTACACCTCTTCTCGTCCTCCGTTTTCACCGCAGCTTCTCATTCTATACCCCAAACTTCGGGAAGGCATTCTCAGAAATGCGTGCCTTGGTGGTCTCCTGCTTGTGCTCGTGCAGTACGTTTGAAACGCGCTGCATGGGGCAGGTACCGGTACAATAGAACCACAGAGCGACTCCTTGATTTTTAAACAGAAGCGTGCGATCGCTCGCCGTGTCATCCGTGACGCTAAACGCACTTGCTGGCGAGATTATGTCCTCCACCATCACCTCTGTTTCCTCTATGAGTGCAGTCTGGAAAAAAGTCCGAAAACTGAGTGGTAAATATTCTCCTGACCCGGCTCCTGTTCTGCGGGTTGCCGGTGTTGATATAGCAAACCACTAGATGTTGCCAATGAAATTGGCAATCATTGCTCCGTATTTCTCAGGGACTCCATCTATGCCCCTCATTTCTTTCCTCAAAGTCTGCCAGAGAGTTAGCACCCTTGGACTTTTCTTCTCTCAGAGAAGAACAGTATAATGTGCCTTTTACACTTCAAGAACTGGAGGCAACACTCTCAGCTTGTCGATCATCGGCAGCTGGGCCCGTCGACATTCATATTCGTATGCTACAACATTTACATCAGTCAGCCCTTGCAGTCCTATTACGCCCTTTACAATCTTATTTGGTCACAAGGAGTTCTTCCACAGCCGTGGAAATCCGCCATTGTTCTCCCTTTCCGCAAACCAGGCACTACGGGACATGAAACCTCCCACTATCGTCCATTGCTCTTACCAGTGCAGTTTGCAAAGTAATGGAACGTCTAGTAAATAGACGTTTAGTGTGGTATTTAGAGACACACAACAGTCTCTCCACTCGTCAATATGGCTTTTCGTAAGGGACGTTCTACCATAGACCCCTTACTGCGCTTGGATACGTATGTTCGTAATGCCTTTGCGAATAACCACTCGTTATTGCCATATTTTTGACCTTGAGAAGGCATATGACACAACTTGGAGGTATAATATTTTAGCCCAAGCCCATCCTTAGGCCTTCGAGGCAATCTACCATCCTTCCTTAAGAACTTTTTAACTGACAGGCATTTCCGTGTTCGGGTTAATAA